GGAGATCTGAATGTGCTGTGTGATACGCATGAGAGTATCCTCAGTTATATGAGATGGCTCAGCTAAAGTCAGCCCAGCTCGTGGCAGTAGTGACTAGAGCACAGAAATCCTGCCTGGAAGGCTTTTCCTAGGAGCTTCAAGGCCATGAGATCAATAACAGCTTATTAGATGGAGAGTGAATAGGCCCACACTAGTTTGATCGGAAAACTGAGGAGATTTCCCATTGGGAAAACCATAGGGAAGGGGAAAAAAAAGCCTTCTTGATGGAGGGGTGGGTTGGTCAGGAGCACAGCCATGGCCAACACAGCTGGTGCTTCAGATTGCAGGTGGGAAAGAGCCAGCCAGGCCACGGCCGAGCGGCAGCAGAAGCTGGAGGAGTCAGTGAACCAGCTGGCCACGTTCCAGGCTGCTGAAGCTCAGCTGCGCCCTTGGCTCATGGAGAAGGAGCTGATGATGAGCGTGCTGGGACCTCTCTCCATTGACCCCAACATGCTGAACGCTCAGAAGCAGCAGGTCCAGGTGAGCTGGGAGCACATCTCCATCCACGGTGGGTGGAGGATGAGGAGGGAGGCTGTGTCATGCAGTCTGTGAGGTGGAAGATGATTGCACTTGGAATGAGGTGTCTTGCAAGCACTCTGCCACGCGGTGAGTGTTCGGAGACCTCGTGGCTCCTCTTCTAAGGCCTCCAAGTTCCTCTGAGCTCAGACTCCTGTGAGTAAGTAGAAACGGGTGCTGTGCTCCAGCGCCGTTCCCCGCGCTGGATTGACTCAGCAATGAATCATTTGGCCCCTCCTGGAGAGTGAAATTGCTTTAAACAAGGCCTGTGCTGATGCTCTGCAGGACTTGCTAATGCTGCCCCTGTGCCTGCCAACCTGCCCTTTCCATACCTCCTGCTTCCAAATCCTTCCGTGTCCATAACTGGCCACATCAGGAAACAAAACGTCCCAGTGAGCACCATTAGATTTGCTTCTCATCTAACTGGTTTATGTGACATTACACAGCAGTAAGACAAATAGACAGCAAAGTCCTGGAGTTGCAGACCCCTCCCAGGTCACAGTAAATCCTGGTTTACCCATCTCAACTGCTGTCCCACCCCAGGGCTTGTTCTTGCTGATTCCATGGGTTGGATAAAGCCCCTGGAGGTCTGGTTTGTTTTGACTGTGTGTACTCGGAGCTGTCAGTTTTATGCAAACATTTTTATGTTATTTCTGTTCCAGTTTATGCTGAAGGAATTTGAAGCTCGCAGACAACAGCATGAGCAGCTCAACCAGGCAGCTCAGAGCATCTTGACTGGCCCTGGAGATGTTTCCCCATCCACAAACCAGGTGCGGGATGAACTCCAAGGGGTTAATCAGAAATGGTCTGAGCTGACAGAGCGTCTCAACTCCCGCTCCAGCCAAATTGACCAAGCCATAGTGAAGAGCACCCAGTACCAGGAGCTCCTCCAGGGCCTCTCAGAGAAGGTGAAGGCAGTTGGGCAGCGCCTGAGCAGCCAATCTGCCATCAGCACACAGCCTGATGCTGTCAAACAGCAGCTGGAGGAAACCAGCGAGATCCGCTCGGACCTGGAGCAGCTGGAAGAGGAGATCACAGAGGCTCAGACCCTCTGTGATGACCTCTCCGTCCTGATTGGGGAGCAGTACCTCAAAGATGAGTTGAGAAAACGTCTGGAGACGGTGGCACTTCCTCTCAAAGGGCTGGAAGACCTGGCAGGTGAGACAGTGGAGAAGTTGCTTAAGAGATGTTTGGATGTCAAACTCCACCCCTACTCTTTGCCAAAGGGTTCTTCCATCTCTGGGTTTCTAAGAATAATAAGGGAAACACGTTTATCATTTCTTGAGATGCTTCGTGTGCATTTTAGGTAGGACCAAGTATGGGAGAGTTCACACTCCAGACATACCTGAGCCTGGAGAGGGAACAGGTTTTTATTCTCACTGGTGTGACCCTTCAACAAGCTGCTTCAACAAGCAGTGTGCCATGTGCTTGGAGAAAAAACAGGTTCCTAAATTCAGACTGGGGCATGGAGAAACCCCAGTGGCCACCCTCTAATCTTGGGATGTCTATTTTGGTTTGTCAAGAGGTTACATTTAGAGGCTGGTCAGGAGAACCGAGATGTGTGTGTTATTGCCTCTTACTACTTGAGAAATTGATGAATCAGTGAGCAAAAGGGCTGGTGATGCAATGGAAAACTCCTTCCTGTTAATCAAAACACAGTTGGTGCATCTGAGATGATTTTAAATAATTGCACTTTGCTTATTTGATTTCAGCTTAATTGTCATGTTCTAATCTTATTCCCATCGCAGCCGACCGGATGAACCGACTGCAGACCGCGCTCGCCAGTTCCCAGCAGTTCCAGCATATGTTTGATGAACTCAGGACCTGGCTGGATGACAAACTGTGCCAGCAAGCTCAGAGCCAACCCATTTCTGCCAAACTGGAGAGGCTTCAGAGCCAAATTCAGGAGCAAGAAGAGTTCCAGAAGAGCCTCAACCAACACAGTGGCTCCTACGAGATGATCGTAGCCGAGGGAGAATCTTTGCTGCTTTCGGTCCAGCCTGGGGAGGAGAAGACCACTCTGCAAAACCAGTTGGTTGGCCTGAAAACACACTGGGAAGAGCTCAGCAAACAGGCTGCTGATAGACACTCTAAGCTCAAGGACTGCTTGCAGAAAGCTCAGAAGTACCAGCGGCACACGGAGGACCTCCTACCATGGGTGGAGGACTGCAAGGCAAAGATGTCAGAGCTGGAAGTAACTCTGGACCCAGTGCAGCTGGAGGCAACTCTTCTGAGGTCAAAGGCCATGCTGAGTGACGTGGAGAAGCGCCGGTCCTTGCTGGAGATGCTGAACAGTGCTGCTGACATCCTGATTGATGCCTCCCAAACAGATGAGGATGACATCCGGGATGAGAAGGCTGGCATCAATCAGAAGATGGATGCCATCACAGAAGAGCTGCAAGCCAAGACTGGCTCCATTGAAGAAATGTCCCAGAGGCTCAAGGAGTTTCAAGAGAGCTTCAAGAACATTGAGAAGAAGCTGGAAGGGGCAAAGCATCAGCTGGAGATCTATGATGCCTTAGGGCCTCAAGCCTGCAGCAACAAGAATTTGGAGAAGCTCAGGACACAGCAGGAGGTTCTGCAGGCCCTGGAGCCACAAGTGGATTATCTGAAAAACTTAACTCAAGGTCTGGTAGAAGATGCACCGGATGGATCCGACTGTTCCCAGCTCCTAAGCCAAGCTGAGGTGGCTCAGCAGGACTTCAAAGCTGTGAAGCAGAAAGTGAATGACTGCTGTGCTCTCATGGAAAACAAGCTGGAAGGGATCAGCCAGTTCAATAATCGAGTCAGGGAGATGTTCTCTCAACTGGCAGATCTGGATGATGAGCTGGACAGCATGGGCCCCATCGGGAGAGACTCCGACAGCCTCCAGTCGCAGGCGGAGGACGTCCGCGCCTTCCTGGGCAAACTCCACGGGCTCAAGTCCGACATCGAAGCTTCTGAGAGGGAATGTAAGAAGATGCTGGAGGATGAAGGAAGCCCTGATTTGTTAGGACTCAAAAGAGAGTTGGAAACACTGAACAAACAATGCAGCAAACTGACAGAGAGAGGCAAGAACCGCCAGGAGCAGGTGGAAACGACGTTGTCGCGTGTGGAGGACTTCTACAGCCGCCTGAAGGAGCTGACCCACATGACAACCGCGGCCGAGGACAACGAGGCGCTGCAGTGGGTGGTGGGAACGGAGGTGGAAACCATCAGCCAGCAGCTGGCAGACTTCAAGGTAAGCCTTGGTGCTATAATGTGTCTTTCAGTGGTGTTCGGTGTTCGAAGGTCCATCTGGTGGTGTGGTTTCTTGTGTAGGACCTCTTGGCTTCGAGCCGTTGTGTCTTCGTTGTTTGTTGCGTTCGTGTCAGTGGTTTTGGTGCAGTGAGCTATCCTTGCTCTGGGGAGTAGAAAAGCAGCTGGTGGATTTGATAGTCTGTGGTGAAAAGGTGCAGAAAGATTTCATGCTGGGCAGGAAATACCCTGTTCTCCTTGTGATGTGTGATGTTGGTGTGCCTGGGCTGGTAGAGGTGGTTGGCATTTAGGTTTTGGGGGAAGGAGGGATGGTTTGGAGTCCATCTGGTCTGTAAGTTGATGTCATCTGAGAGTTTAGTCCAAATAGATCATCCTGCAGGTCTTTCTACCTGGCCCAGCATTCCTACTTGTTGTCCACTTCACCTGGCTCACATATTCCATCCAGTTTGGGGTCCTTGGGTACAAAAAAAGCCACAGATAAACTGTGAGACAAGGGATACACCCAGGGAATAAACCCAAGGTGAAGTTTTATGTGGTCTGTTCACGTTTCCAGCAAGGAGCTGATGGAGACCATCAAGACTTGCATGGAAAGCTGAGAGAGGGAAGAGTTGGAGTGTGTTTGATACATTTTTATACAGTATTATGATGTTGGGTCATGCTGTTACAGTACATTAATTATATTCATACTGCTCAGAAATTCTCTTGCTGTGAAACTTCTATTCCTGATGTGCTCAGGAGTTGATGATTGGGTTGATTTACATCTGGCTGTTCGTTTCCTGGTGTTAATGGGGGGTGGGAGGGGGAGGCAGTTTTACAGCCATTTACTTTTCATCTCATGGCTAATTGATCCCGTTCCACCACTTTAATGGCTCTGTGAAACCTTCACCAGGACAAGGTGTTTCTGGTTTTGGGGGTTGCCTGTCCTAAAAAAAAAAAAAGGAGCTGGAAGTGTTATTTATGAAACAAACTCAACCTCATCTGATGGTGTTGCTGTCTTGTGTTGGGCAGAGATTTGTTTTGAGCTGATATTGATGGGAAGGGTTTAACTTCATCGTTAAACACCACACAGTCACTTGGAACAAATACATCCAAAAAGGAGTTTTTAGGCCTTAAAATCAGTGAACCTTTCCTGCAGAGCAAGGGATTATTCCTGGCTGAGCAGCTCTGGTTAGAAACGATGACAAAACCCAGTGTCGGTGCAGATTGCTGGGCTGGCCGAGCTGGCAGGAGCAGATTAACCCATCGTAGGCTTTGCACGTGGTCTACAGCTCAGTGACCTTGAGAATGACTCTTTAAGACAGCAGTGACCTGGGCTGCATGAGCTAAGGGGGCTTTGAGGGGTGAGGTGTCCTCACCAGGAGTCATCTGTTGGCCGTCGGGGCCGCGCGGTGCATTTGGGGTCTTTGTTGGTGGGAAGATGCAAGTTGCAGCAGCGAGGGGAAGGTTTTACTGTGTAATGGCTGGGAATAAAATGGGGGAGAAGCATGAGGGGTGGATGGAGCAATCATGGTTACGCAGCAGCATTCCTCCCTTCCTCCCCTGCACGGTTCATCCAGAGAGCAAGGATTTCTGCACTAAATGTTGCAGAGCAGATCTTAGCTGAGCTTCACCTTCCGCTCCTCTCCGAGGGAAATGCAACCCCAGCTCTTGATCTGCACATGGAAGGACATCAGCAGGGACTGTCTGTCCTCTGTACGTGCAGGAGGGAGAGGTCTGACTTTGTGGGGAGGAGGGAGCCCAGGAGCTTCTCTTGCTTGCACCAGGCTTTTATTTCTCACTAAATTGTCTTTTGAAGACAATATGACAACTCTCTCCCTTCTTGGATTGCAAACCAGATGTGTCCAGGGCAGCTCCTCAGCCTGGCAGTGCTCCTGGGGGTGGTGTGGGGAGGAGGATGGGGTGACCAGGGCTCTCCGGGAGCGGTCGCGGTCTGTCTGTCCAGAAGGCTCAAATACAGGCAGATATTATGTCTTAAGGCATTAATTTTAATGAACATCTGTGTAAATGAGATGCAAATTAAGCAGGGCCGCAGGGCTCCAGGCGAGTTGCCAACGGAGTCCTGACAAAGGTGGGCACTTCTGGACTCATTGTTGTCCAGATTTTAATAAAGAAGATATATTGAAGGCTCTGAGGGAGGATGGGAACAGATGACTTTGGAAGCAGCTTTATATTTGTGGCTTCCCATAGATTTTGCTTTTCCTGCCTGCAAACATCCCTCAAACTTACCCCAAAAGGCCACAACCTCCATCAAACCCTTAACTTTTGGAAAACTGCCATCCATGCATTTCCTCTCTTCCCCCCCAGCCCCTTTCCCAGGTCACAGAGGGACTAATCCTGGCTTTGGGAGGGATGAGCCCTCTCCTGCTCGAAGTTTTCCTCCTGGCTGGGTTTCTCAGAGTCAGGAGGTTGGGAAGCAGCTGTCGGATCGTGCTTGGGGAAAGCTTTGTTTGCAGGAGGTGTTTGGGTTCAGTGAGCAGATGAGATTTGGGGATGGGTCTATGGAGAGGCTGAGCCCACATCAGCTCCCACAGTGATGTAGGGTGGGCCTGGAGTTCAGGGAAAACTAGGCAGGGATGGGTTTGGAGCATCCTGTTGGAGGAGGATTGTAAGAAACCCATCTGCAGGGGACTCTAAGGGGTCATCTAATTTAGCCCCTAGTTTTCTGCTGAGATCAAGTGCAGCTGAAAGGCATTTCTGTGGTTTGGAGTCTGTGCTTATATGGATATCCTGATGGATCGCTTCGGATCCAGCTATGCCACAGAAGAAATAACATGGGTTTAGCTCATGTTAAGCTGTCAGAGCAAAAGGAACCTCATCTTTAACTCCTG